GGTTCAGTTTGTTGAGCCGCAGGTTGATCATTATGCTAATGCTAGGATGAAGTTGAAAGTTAGCACTGGGTAGAAAGATGTTATCTGTGAATACTGCAAGAAGCCTAAACACTCTAAAGACACATGTTGGAAGCTGCATCCATAGCTCGTTCTTATCAGATTCAAGAAAGAAAATGGTGGAAAAAAGGCTGAAATTGGAAAAGGTGGAAATGCAAATGTAGCCATCTCTTTACATGGTGAACAAGGATAGGGTGGAGAGAAGTTAGTGGGAGAACAGCTTGCAGCCGCCATGGCTGAATATGAGAAGTATGGCTGAATCATTAGTCACTTGGAGTCCATTGCTATAGCTCCTTCAAAGACTATTCCTTCCTGTACATATGCTCACTTAGGTATTCATGCCACTGCACATCATGCTTTTCTGTCTCATATACTCATAAATCCCCTTGGATAATTGATTCAGATGCTTTTGACCATATGACCAGTGTTTCACAGTTATTTATCTCTTACCAACTTCTTTTTGGCCGGGATAAGATATCCCTTGTTGATGGCTCCCTAGCCCCTATCACGAGAAAGGGAGACATTAAGACCTCTAATGCATTGACCTTATCATCTGTTCTTCATGTACCCAAACTTAATACCAATTTGCTTTTAGTTAGTAATATGACTAAATCCCTGAATTGTAGTATGACCTTTTTTCCTTCATATTGTGTTTTCAGGACATGGAATCTTAGAAGGTGATTGGGAGTGGCCATGAGGCGAATGGGATCTATCTGTTAGACATGCTTGAGCAGAGCCAAGTACAACCTAAGAGAACTGCATTTGTCAGAGTCCACTAGTCGTTTGGGTCATTTATCCTTTTCTTCATTGAGTCAATTATCTCTAGAGTTATTTATAGGAATTAGTCTATCGAATCTTCATTGTGAATCTTGTGAGTTCTCAAAGCATTGTAAGAGCACTTATCCTTCAAGTAATAAAAGATTAACTATTCCTTTTAATATTGTTCACTCTGATGTGTGGGGGTCTTACCATTTACCATGTATGGGTGGGTATAAATATTTTATCTTGTTTATTGATGATTTTTCACAATATACTTGGATTTACCTTATGTGCTCTCGGGCTGAAGTGTCTAAACTTGTGCAACAGCTCCATGAACACATACTCACTCAATTTAATACCCACATCAAAATATTCCAGTTAGACACTGCTAAGGAATATTTTAAGAAGGACCTTACCTCCTATCTTGAAAAGTTTGGGGTTATTCATCAGAGTTCTTGTGCCCGCACTCCACAACAAAATGGAGTAACGGAGAGGAAAAACAAACACATTGTGGAAATTGCAAGGAGCATTCTTTTTGTTACCAGAATATTTTATTAACTGCATGCCTTCTCGAGTCTTGGGGTTAAAATCTCCTTTTGGAGTCCTTTTTCCTGATGTTGAGATTTTCTCTATTCCTCTGAGGGTCTTTGATTGCACTTGTTATGTCCACATTCCTAGTTCCAAAAGACATAAGTTCGACCCCAAGGCTCAGAAGTGTATCTTCCTTAGTTATGCCTCCACACAGAAAGGGTATTGTTGTTTTGATCGCATTAGTGGCACTCGGTTTGTTTCCATGGATGTCACCTTTGTAGAGTCAGTTCCTTTTTATAGCCATCCTTCTGAGGGGGAGAGATCTCTCGAGTTTTTTTCTTCATCCCTTTGCCAACTCCAGTTGAGTCTTGTGTTGAGCCCTCTACAGTTACTCCCATTCCCGTGGAGGCATTGTTGAGGGCTCGAGAATAGGATCTCGTCACGGGTCGGTCCACGGGGAAAACCTCCTGTTTTCCCTTGTTCCTTCCTGTTCGTGATGAACCTATCTTGGCGCCTTTGGTGATTTGTCCAAGAGATCACCAACTCTCCTAACTCACTCGTTGACTGAATAATTTGATGATTTCATTCAATGAGGGTGTCTCCTTAAAT